ATATTTATTTCCTTAAAATTTTATAAAATAAACTTTACGAAAAGCATTACTGAAATTTATGATCATAATTGGGTCCATGAATACAACATAAAGTTTATGCCATAACGCGTAAATCATATTACAATTTATTCAATATGCAAATAAATTCACAGCATTTCAACAAATAATTGATATTTTCACAAATTATTCATTTGGGAATTAAAAGTTATGAATAAATGAATTCAAATTAAGTGTAATAACTTGAAAAATAAGTTTATTTACAGATTTATGAATGAAATTTAACCAAAAAAGTTTTCCAAACAAAAAAAACTTAAATAAATAAGAAACATATTTACAATACTTTTATGTAATCATAAACAAAGTGAAATAGTTATCTTTCAAAAAGTAGATTTTGGGTATTTTTAGCACAATTAAAATTAGTTTAATTAATTAAATACAGGTTTTGAGGGAAAACTAACGTAACAAATGACGTGATCTTAAAGAGTGATTTTATGGGCCCTTAGTGTGCAATGCATTCATCGAAGTGAGGCCGAGGGTGTGCAGTGACTGCCAGTGAGTGAGTCCTCCCTTTCATGAGTATTTGCTTTCATGTGAAATAAGCGATCGATTCATTCATTTAGTATTGAATGCAATGAAGTGTTGGTCTGATTGTCGTGTCTTTCGATGACATCATAAGAGCCGACAAACTGTGAAAACACTGACGACTCGTTTCAATCATTCAATTGTTTGCAAATATATTTGAATACATTTCTTACAACTACTGCACAATCAGTGCCACAAATGTCTGCAATGTATGATCTGTTGGGAAGATTCAGTGTATTAGTGGTGGTGTTATGGCTGTTGTGGAAGTTGTCTCGAGGTTTGTGGACCTCTTTCATTGCCTCCAGTTTGGGACTCGGAGTCAAGTGGTGTCCGTCCGACAAGACTTGGGCTATCATAACGGGCGCCACCGATGGCATCGGAAAGGCTTACGCCCAGAGGATGGCTAAAATGGGATACAATTTGCTGCTAATCAGCAGAAGTGAAGACAAACTGAACAAAACGAAAGAAGAGATTTTGGCGAAACACAAGAAGTGCTCTGAAGTGAGAGTTCTTGCCGTCGACTTCACCCAAAATGATATATACGATCGCTTAGAGGCCACTATCGGTTCACTGGACGACATCCATGTGCTGATCAACAACGTCGGCATCTCCTACTCATACCCCGAATATTTCACTCAAATCCCGGACTCACAGAAGTTGATTGAATCGATCATTAACTGCAATATCATATCAATGACGCGAATCATTGAACTCGTTTTGCCTAAAATGGAGGCCAAAAGACGTGGAGTTATCATAAACCTGTCCTCATATTCGGCGTCATATCCGATGCCATTGCTGTCTCTGTACGCCTCGTCCAAGATCTACGTGGACTTCCTGTCGCGAGCCCTTCAGGTGGAGTACGCCAACAAAGGCATCACCATTCAGAGTGTGTTACCCGCGTATGTCATGACAAACATGAGTAAAATCCGTCGCTCCTCTCTAATGGTTCCCACGCCTGAAGTCTATGTCGACCACGCGTTGAGAACCGTCGGCATCGAGAGCCGCACTTATGGCTATTGGCCGCACAAACTCCAGGGATTCCTTCAGGACTCCATTATCTCAAACACCATTGGACTCGGATCTGACTTCAACATCAAGTTGGCCTTCAATGCACTCAAAGACGTCAGACGAAGATATTATAAGAAGGAGGGCTTGAAAGAGAAGACCAACTGATTTGATCCCAATTGACGTCAATTATCGGGATTTCAAAGCAATACTTAAAACCAAAATTGAGATCTTATTGAGGCTATACTTGGGATCAATTATAGTTTTTATTGATATTAACAAAAAATTTATATTTTATTAAAAAATTGGATTAATTTTGACATAATTTTATGTAACAAAAGATTGAAGTAATGAATGATAAATAAAAGGTGTGATTGAAGTGAGTTTGCCGTCATTTGGAGGCCTCCTTCCGAGTGGCGTCTTGTAGTAGTGAGACATCGATGTCATCGGCCGGCAATTGCACGTATCGGACGACTGATCCGCGGATGAAGCAGTTCTTGACGGACAACATATACGGGTATTTGTGGCCATTCATGACAGTGATGTCACTCATCTTGATGTTGAGGTACTGGTCCACCGAATGAAGGGTTCCGCAGATACTCAAGTCGTTCTTGAGCTCAACCACGACATCCTTCCCAATGAGACTCTTGAAGAAGGAGAAGAATAACATTGTCTGTATGTGTGGTCTGAATGGATAAAGTGGTTCACGGGTGGTGTTGTGGTGATCGACAACTTATGGTCAACTGTCTGTCCCTCGCATTCAATGTGTTGACTGAGAGAGAGTGAGCGCATGCGTGCGACCAGTGCTGCCATCTGTGTGTGCATTGAGTGGTGAGTGTTGTTGACTGAGTGGTGGTGTGACAGGCGTTGTGCCAAATCAGTGCCAAATGATAGCCAGACATTGCATTTGAAGCAAAACTCAATTTTCTAGTGACTAACACATCATCTCTTCATCTCATTTATTGAACACTTCTTCACCACTTCTGCTATCAATCAATGGCTTCAATCACTTCCTCTTACTTCTCATCCTCAAGACTATTGTGTAATGTTTTCGACAGAGTATTTGACGTCAAACTGAAGCCCAAAAACTTGATTAAACCGTCGATCAGATGGACGTCCAACACATCCAAGACTCTCATTCCGTCCTCTTTATGTCCATTACTTTCGGTATGTCTTAAAGATTAGACTTTTTGTGGTTTTTTGCTTTAAATGTATATCCAATGGTTGATTCAGTATTGTGCTCACCATTGTACCTCACAATATTGTGCTAGCTTAGATGATTGGAATTGGCTAATTGTGCCTTGCTCACTTTGGTACAGTTGTTGACCGTTATATAAGTTCTAAGATTAGATGAAAAGTTTGCAAAAGTCATCAAATCATATGAATTGTTCGGTTGGAGACAGAGGTGACAGTCAATGGCTTACAAGCGATGAGTTGTTTGCAGATAATGTGTTTTTCATGTAAGAATGACTGCATTTGGGATTGAAGTCAAAGTTGAATAAATTGCATGAATGAGCAAAAGGGAAGGCAAGGGTAAGGCTAATGACCCTGTTATATGTTATATGTTATGTGGTGGTCGACCCATTTCTCACAAAGTGCTAAATTAGTGCCCAAGTGGTAAATAAAGTGAAGATAGGTAACTGTGTTGCAGCTACTGGTGCTCATGAGATATTAATATCCGTTATGCGTTATCTGTAAATATTCTGTGTTTTGAACAATTTCTTGGACAGGTATGTGTTGGACAGGTATGCTGTGAGATGCCATTCCGACTGCATTCCCACTGTGCAAACATGGACTATTAGTGGTGGGTTTTCACTGGCAGTTAGACCAGTGTTTGGACAGTTAGATAGTGATGTTAGTGGTGATGGTGTGGCGAACTGGTTGGAGACAGAGTGGTGTGAACTCTTGTGCCACATCGTGCCAGGCGCTCATCAATGTAAACAGTATACAGTATGGGTGCACATACTGTAGGTGCCATCAGTACCGCAAACAAGTTGTGCAACTTGTGAGCCATTGTCGGCATTCAAAGCCAATGCATACCGTTATGAATGTATGAATGTATGTATGGTAGGGATTGCAGAGATTGCAGGTCACTAAGTCATGTCAGACCCCATGTCTTCAATCAGGTTCTCTAAGCTATCATATCATATGTCGTCCCTGTCTTGCATACCATCACTACTGTGTATAATTGCAGTCTTACCGCACCGTCTAATGTACTGCTATTATCATACAAAACCTTGTTATTCATAACTCAATGATTTGATTCACTTATTTGTTTATTACTTACGGTAACACAGAATATGTAATTATTATTCAATGTACTGTTCATCCGATTGACTATTTTTTTAAGTACTTTTGAATTCACTTCAAACATACAGTACTTTTAAATGATTTCCTTGAGCTTCATGTAATAATAGTCGGTATTTAGGAAATGACACTAATTTTAAGGTTCATTGTTTACTAAACTATGAATTAAAACATTTGTGGACTCAAAAGAAATTCAATTTATACGATAGCTGTAATGTATTTGTGATAATAAATGGATCCATTTGTCGACAGAACTCGTATGACTGGATTACGGCTTGATTCAAGACTTGCAAACAAATATAAAAATAGATTCATTTATTGCTCAAATAATTTCAAAGCAAATATTATCAATATAATTAGCTATTCTTATCGTTTCGTAATTAATGTGTTTTGAATGTATGTTGTGTTTTTTATTAAAGCAGTGGTTTCTAAATTAGGAAAACTTTTCACTGTAAAGAATTTCTTTATATAAGCCTTGAACACTCCATTAATGGTACAAAACCTGAATAGTTAGAGAATTTACAATTTTACACCAAACAACTAGCAATAGTTACAACTTTTATAATGCCCAAATTTTGCATTTACACAGACACTGATTACAAATGAATGCATAAATTGGTTATAAAATGTAATATAAATATATTATTCAATAATGAAGGTTATTAATAGTATATTATTCAAGAATATTATTAATATGGAATATAGTAAGATATTATTCAATCCGGTTTCTAAGATTGTAATAAATCGCCTTGTTAAGATTAGTCTCATACTCATAACTTACTCATGTCCATTGACTTATTGATATAGAAAAATGTAATTTAAAAAATAACCCTTATAATAACCTGTGGTTTATGGTAGGATTGAAATTAATTGTCACATATTTCGGGGACTTATAGGTAAACACTGAGAAGAGGACTAAATTGCACTCAACTTTGGCGAGCGTTAGATCCCATAAATTGGATGCGAGTCCTATAAGTCAACGACTGCTAAGCACCTCATTATACCACCAAAAGTCATCCCCTGTTCAACAAAGCACTCAAACACATCAATCAAAATCTACAAATCCTTTCAAATTGGCTGAGAATGACTTAAATAGTCTTTACGCTGATATCCGTAAAGAGTTGTGGGCCGAGCGCCCAGAGCTCGAGGAGATTGCCGGCTATTACTTCGATGGTCAGGGAAAGGCCTTCCGTCCGATGGTAGTCGTGTTGATCGCGCGGGCCCTCAATCATCACATCCATAGAAGGCCTGATTTACTCGAATCTCAGAAGACGGTGGCAATGGTGACCGAAATGATTCATACGGCGAGTCTGGTTCACGACGATGTCATCGACACTGCAGACACCCGGCGCGGGAAAGCCAGCGTTAATGTGCTTTGGGGTCAGAAAAAGGCGATTCTTGCCGGCGATTACATCCTCTCGCGAGCCTCGCAAATGTTGGCCAGACTTCAGAACGAAGAAGTGATCTTAGTTTTATCGCAGGTATTGTCGACTGTTGCGTGTTGTCGGCTGTGTATGTCTGACCACTACTCTAACCTACAGGTGCTGCTGGATCTGGTTCAGGGAGAGTTCATGCAAATGTGCTCTAAAGAGGATGAAAACGAACGCTTCTCTCATTATATCCACAAAAGTTTCAAAAAGACTGCGAGTCTTATCGCGTATACGTGTAAAGCAGTGGCTCTGCTGTCGGGCGCTAATCAGGCCTTCCAAGAGGCGGCCTTTCAATACGGACGCAATTTGGGGATTGCCTTCCAATTGGTGGACGACTTACTGGACTTTGTCTCGAGTCAGGCAGAGTTGGGCAAACCGGCCGCCGCTGACCTCAAACTGGGTTTAGCGACCGCTCCGGTGCTGTTCGCGTGCGAGAAGTTCCCGGAACTAAACATTATGATTATGAGACGATTCTCGGAACCGGGAGATGTCGAGAAGGCCTACGACGCCGTTATGAAGGTATGTCTCACCTCATGATCTGTCGTCTCGATTGTTATGTCTAATCATATGATGACTTGTTTAGAGCGACGGCTTATATCACACGCGAATCCTGTCGCGAAAGCACGCGGACGAGGCGTTGAGGCACGTGTCGGGCTTTGCAGACTCACCCGAAAGACATGCTCTCATCTCTCTGACCGAACTGACACTCAATCGCAAGAAGTGATCCTTAGATACGAATTTGTAAATAGAGTTAAAGTTAATTGAATAGAGTTTATAACGCCTTTTGATCACACATTTGGTGTTCGGAAGTGAAGTGCCATTCATTTAAAGTCTTCCCAATTATATATTCCTCAATGTTTTGAGACAATCGATGTCTGTCTCGACTGTTATTTCTTTGTACAGTTAATGATTGTTAAGATTTAGCTTTAATTGGCGTTTGGGTTATATATTAAAGTATTTTCACTAGAATTTTAAGGCTTGAAATATTTTCTCGTTTGAATTCCTTATAGTAATATATGTTCTAAAATATCAATTATACAAAAATTTCCTTCAATTCTCTCTTTGATTGCATTCAATAAACACTTAATACTAATGAAATGTTAGCTCTCTCTCACTCTCACTGCCATTTGTTTCCTATTTTCAGACTTCAATAAATGACAAATTATGCAATTTATATCTCAAATTAATCAATCAATGAATTATAATAATTAATAGAATATATTTTTATTAGAAAACTATTTCATTAAAATATTGTTCACTTCCTCTGCATTTAATGTCTCGTACTTAAGAAGTGCTTCGGCTATGAGTTTGTGTTCTCTGCTATGAGTCTTGAGAATAGTCTTCGCCCTTTCGTATGAATCCTATGGAAACAAGTGATCATTCATTCAAAGACTGCAATGAGTGTCATATATGGCAAACCTGAAGCAATTTCTTGATCTCGCTGTCGATGTTCTCAGTGGTACTGACGGCTAAATCGTTGACCACAACCAGGGAGTTGTGATCGTCTTCGAAGGTTCGAACGCCGATCTGGACATAAAAAGCAAATCATATGATATGACAGACATTACCAACGCATGCAATACACGACTACCTTATCAGACATTCCGAAATCCTTGACCATATGTGTGGCCAAATTGGTAGCCTTTTTGAGGTCATCGTAAGCACCGGTTGTGATCTTTTCGGCGCCAAAAATAAGTTCTTCAGCAGCTCTGCCGCCCATAAGTGTATCCATTTGTGCCAAGAGTTGGGACTTTGTGGTGAAGAAGTGTTCTTTGTCTGGCAGTTGGGCGGTGTGTCCGAGAGAGGGTCCGCGCGGAACGATAGTTACTTTGTGCAGAGGGTGCGAGTCCTTAGTGAAGTGGGCGACTAACGCGTGTCCGCCCTCGTGGTAGGCTGTGATCACATTGGCCTCTTCGTCAGGGATACGACTCTTCCTCTCGGGTCCCATCAGTATCTTGTCTCTCGAATTCTCCATGTATTTCATAGTAACAGACGGCTGCCCATCAATGGCTGCTCTGAGCGCCGCCTGATTGACCAGATTTTCTAAGTCGGCGCCCGTGAAGCCAGTGGTTCCCCGCGACAGCATTTCCACGTTCACATCACTCGAGAACTTGACTTTCGATAAATACAAATCAATGATCTCTTTCCTGCCGTTGAAGTCGGGCACCGGCACCTGAACCTCCACATCGAAACGTCCGGGTCTTAGCAGCGCTCGGTCTAAGTCGTCGCGTCTGTTGGTGGCGCCCAACACTATGACGCCTTCGTTCTGTCGAAAGCCGTCCATTTCGGTCAACAACTGATTGATTGTCTGATTGGCGTACGGATGGAGAACAGAGTTACTCCGTTTAGCACCGACTGAATCAATCTCATCGATGAACACAACACACGGCGCCTTCAGTTTGGCGGTACTGAACAAATCCCTGACCCGTCGAGCGCCCTGTCCTACGAGTATCTCATCGAACTCAGGACCGGCGGCGTGGAAGAAGGGAACCCCAGCCTCGCCGGCCACCGCGCGCGCCAACAGTGTCTTTCCAGTGCCGGGTGGGCCCACCAGTAGAACACCTTTGGGTA